AGAGCCTCAAGTGCTTTCTGTAGTCAGGATGCAAGATCAAGACTACATTATCCTTCTTAAACTTCTGCTGTGTTGTCTCTGTAATTGCCCAATTCAAAACAGTATGATGGTCACACACTTAACCCTTGAGTGCTTTGAAGATTACAGAGAGATTGGAATGTTCCCTGAAATAAAACACAAAATCCTCATATATTAATTGTGTTTACTTTGCCATTACAAGCAAATTAGCTTTTCCTTTTTTTTTTACATTTCACCTCATTCTGGATTAGCTGTTCCAAGAGCAATGCCTAAGAGAGGGGAAAAAATTGTGTATAGCACGCACCTTGCTGTATTACCTTAGTTCAGGAAGAAATTGAGGCACATGTTGAAGAAAGGTCCTGGACAGAGCAGCAGTTAAATGGGTACTTTACTTGCACTTACTTCAAGATTTAAATATGTTTAAAATTACATGCATGTGCAAGTAAGAGCAGTATGTGGAGGTCTCAAGGAATAATAGCCCTCCTGAATGATTCTTAACTGATTAAAAATGCTTCTTTTAGAGATCTTCTGAAGTTACCAGAATAAAAACTTCATAATGTAGTGTGTTTTTCAAGGGAATGGTTGTCAGATGTCTTATGATTGTTCTGGAGATTACCACTTCAAGAAAACTAACAAAATGGTTATTGGATTTAAAAGGTATTCTCTGTAAGTAAATGTCACTTTTAAATACTTCAGCTATTATGTTTGTGTTTGCATTACTGTAGGGATTTAAATGGTACCATTTGCATATTTTATCCAATTCTCTAATGTTCACTTAGTGAGTTAAAATTAAGATAAGTTGTGTAAATGGAACAGCTTGCTGGCTGTGGATAAGGTTTAAATCACCTGCACTAAAAGTACTGCACTTTGGAGAAGAGTATGCTTTGTTCATGTAAGCAGCATGTTTAATTGCATGTAAGTTTTAGTATGAAATCAAAAGAGAAATAGAAGGATAGAAAACACAGAAATATTTTTAAGACTGACATCTTTGCCTTGGGAGGGGAAGGCTAAGAATGTATGTTTAGTCATGTCAGGTCTGGGGTGTGCATGCAATTAATTTTTGCTATATAACATTCTCCCAATATTTTTATTTATGTGCTTCTAACACACCCCAGATGTTTTGGGATTCTAATCACATGGAGTTCTCTTTCCCCTTCTCTCCATGTATAACTTTTTCTTCTGACAGCATGAAATACCTTCCCTGGTTGTCCTTAAGGGAGGTCTAGCCAGCCCCAGCCCAGGAATGGCTGGCAAAGCCTGGCCTGTGATGTTCACATGTTCCTATCTGATAGTCTGCCTAGAAATCGCTGTTCTTCCACCTTCAAATTTCTCCTTTGAAGCTCTGCCAGTGATTGACTTTTGGTCCCCTAAGTCAATGTTTTATTTTTAAATACTCACCTAGCTTGCAGATTTTTGATACTAAGCATTTTCCACAGGTCTAATCTTCTTGTCTGTAATTTTCATGGATCTTAAGGCCATTGCTGGCCATCCCTCTAACACAACCTGGAGGGACATGACCAATTGCTACCCTCAAATCTACTTAACATCCTTTTCTCCTTGCAAAATATTTTGCTGCTTTCCTTTATTAGTCCACCTTTGGATTATTTACCACCAAGGAATTGCTGAGTTTTCTTTTTCTGTATGCTAAGATAAATTTGTTGTATATTGTTGCCACATTTTCCAGTTTTTCTGTCCTCCTTACACATGTAGAATAAATGTGCCATCTGTTCAAGAGCTGTTAAGAAACTCTACTACAAGGGTGTTCCTTTTAGTTGAGTTAGGCTGTCATGAGTACCCATGGTTACTTTTATGTGCTAATAGACTCCAAACCAGGGATTTTGAACTTCTGTGTGGATTTTCTGTGATTAGAAATGGGAATAATCTTAAAAGCTGCATGGAAGCTTAAAATGAGATATTTATGTAATGCTGTTCTACTTATGGTGCAGCAGGTCAGCATGTTCTACAGCAACCTCTCCATTTGTGTAAACCCTGAGTAAAGTACAGGGTTTACAGTACAAAGGGACTGCAGGGAGAGATTGCAGGTAGATGGAAGTATTGGTAAGAAGAGAAGTCAGGAACCATGCAGATATAAAAGACATCAATTTGTAGTAGCCATTGTCCCTTAAACTCTTTCCCTGCCTACTTCCTTCCCTCCTCACAGATTTTCTTACTGAAGTGGGGGCAGCACAACTTTCTGAATGCACTGTAAGAGGTTCCTTTTCTTCCCATGGGGAAGGGTGAACCAGGTACTGTGCAGGGTGTAGCGGCTGGACAAGGTTAAACACAACAAATTGTTAGTTACAAAGTGTGTGTTGTGTTGTAGCTAATACAGAACTAATATATTTCTTCTATCATCTGGCTTAATAATGCTTTTCCTGGGGTTATTCTCCCTCACACTTAAGTGTTTGTGCAGGTTTTTGTAATCAAATGAGTATTTTTCTGTGTAAACACATAGGGGAAGTATAGAGAAATTAGACTATAAACTACCAGCGTGCTCTAAAATAAGCAAAATGCATCCTTGCAGCAATGACAGTTCTGGCATAGTTGTTTTGCAAGACAGTTTTGGTTATTGGAGTGTTTTGGTAACCAGAGAGCACACAGAGCCTGGTCTTGAGGCAGGCTCTGCCCCTGGCTGCACACTGAGTTGCCCATTGCTTGTATGCAAGCCTGCCAGTGCAGCAGTGCATGCACATGTACATCACACAGGTGTGATGTGCATGGATGATAAGGTAGCAAATACCTTTTCCCTCTGACGTGTTCTGTAATGTAGCAATGATTTTTTCACGAGATTTTTCTGAGTGAAAAATACAGGAGCTTACAGAATTGCTCTTCACTCTGTTCAAGAGAAATGACTCAACATCTATCAATCCTTTATAATCACTGTGAAGCTGCCACTGGGAATGCCCTGACAGGGAAGGCAAGACACATGATCTGAGAGTGGTTACTGCCCTGGTGACCAGGGATGGCAGCCAGCTGCCTGTCCGTTTCCTTATGCCACTAGCAGGGAAGGAGAGTGGCTTTGCTTTCTGCTTTCCATTTCTCCTCTGGGCAGGGAGGCAGACTCTCCACAGTACTGGAGGGGAAGGTCAGAGTGTTAGTAAAGATTTTGTTATTCCTTTTGGCTTCTGTCCTTCTTCAAACAGGTTGTGGATTTTCAGTTGCACATTTGCCATCAGCCTCACTATGAGCTAAAACTTCACTAACCTTTAACATTAATCAGAATTATGAGTTGCTGCTGCTCAATTATCTAGCTGCTGTTGTTAAACACTAAAAATCAGAAAATAGCCTATTTTTCTCTGCACAGTAAGCTGAAAGCCCTTCAGGCCAACCTAAAGTGAGCTGCAATTGGAAACAAATGTGTTGATGCTGCTGAGCTCTTCCTGGCGATGCCATTGCCAGTGGTGGCTGCCTGTGCAGCTCTGCTCTCTTTACCCTCTGTGCCACAGCCCTGCAGGACGTTCACTGCTTGCAGACTGCTAAGGTAAACCCCTCTGCCATTAGATTAATTGATTGCAATTGCAAGTGTCTGTTCAAACGTAGGAAGGAGAGAGAGAAGAAAAGCACAACATAAATAGAAACTATTGCTCTTAATTTCTATTTATTTTTCATATGCTTAGTGAAAAAGCACAGCTATACTGAAAAACATGTAATCAGATGTTCCCTGTAGCAGATTGAATTAAAAAGGTGTATTGATGTTATGGTAAGAAAGAATTTAGAGCATTTGACACTTGCTTTTTAATGACTTTTGTTTACCCTTTAATTATGTTCATCACTGTATTTTACCTCATTATTTATTTTCTTATTTCCTAAGATTAGGAATAAGCAGTGTGTCAATTTCCCTTTTAAATTTTTAAAATAATATTTATCCCTGAATGTGAAAACTGATAACTAGAGATAAAAATTTCACTGGAAAACAAAAAAATCCCTGAATTATCTTAGCAAGTAGGAATAGTCTCAAATGTGAGTACAGACATGCCAAAGGAATGACAGCTGAGGAGAGCTGTCACTGGTGCTTCTCAATACCACATCTCCTTGCTGGTACCCATGAGCTGGGTGGTGACTCCCCTGCCTGGTGGGCTCCTTCAAAGTGTTGACAGAAATATGCAACTCTTTCAGACAGTGTCTGGCCAGTGGGCATGCCTTAATCAGAAAATGATGGGAGTGGATGTAGCTCTTCAGGCTGGAAGTGAAATGACCCACAAAATAGTGTCAGCTTTCAGAATCCCATTGCTTCTGGTGTTTTTTCTGAAGGAGCTCTGCTTTCTGGACACTTATAAGCATCAATTAATGATTAAGGTTATGATTCCTGGGTTCAGTTTAAATGCAGAATATAATTGCATGCAGAGTGCTTCATATGAGTTTCCAGGCTTTTTTTGGTATGATTCTCCAAAGTTCATCAGACTGACATGATCCTGAGAGTATAATAGAAGAACCAGATAGGAAGTATTTACAGTTCACATAATTTTTAATGAAATATTTTAAAAGAAAGAAATTACAACCTTTTAGTAATAAAGTATGTTTTCATGCATCAACATTTCTGACATATGGGAAATGCTCTATGGGTTGTGACTGTATGTGACTTTATATAATGTTTTAAATTTTTTTGTTAACAATCTTATAATTTAAATTCACATGAAGATTACAGATAATTTCTGTAGCTGACTTAGAACTATTCCAATTTTAAAAAATTGATTATTTGCTATTTGCAGTTTTGAGAATATAGTTTGGACTATATATTTGCCTAATGCAGAGTTCCCAGGACCACAAAATTGTCCTTTTGCCAGATGGTACATGCACATATTTCATGAAGTGATCTACAGCTTTGCAGAAAATAGGGCAAGCTCTGTAAATAGAGCATGTCAGGTAGTTTTTTCTCATTCTTTTTTATACTACAAATTGACACATTTGTTCTGTGGTGGATGTTTTTCTGAGATTTCTGTGAAATCTCTAACAGCACTGCTTATTTGTCATTTCACCTACAGGTACATTTATGTTCCAATGGGAGGATCTCAGTCCAGTTTGCTTGGAACACTATTATCTACAGCCCTCACTTTTGCTTTTGTAAGCTACTGGCATGGAGGACAGAGTTATTTGTGGTACTGGGGTGCATTTAATTGGCTTGGAGTAATCGTGGAGAATGGCACCAAGAGGATACTTTCAATTTCACTTATTCAAGATTTAATTGTAAGTTGAATCTCTCTCCATTTCATATTCTTGCTTCCTGGCTCCATGCTCATCTGAAGTTTCTGGTTACTAGTTTGCTTTAATCAAGATTAAAATCGTGATAACAGATAGAATTAGCATTCCCTTGCCCACCACCCAGTATCTGAGGTAATAACGAGTTCATAACACTAGAATTTTGCAAAGTAGCAGCAAAGCAGATGGTGAAATATGCATGGTCTTAAAAGCTTCCTCTGCAGTCCTAGAGTAAGCAAATGCTTGTCACGTTGTATAGGGATGAACAGAAGCCAGTTTTAACATTTGTATTCTGATTTCACTCAGGATGGCCTTAAAATATTCATCTTCACTAAAATTAGGAGTGTATGTTTCTAACCATGTGTTTCCTGGACAAATGTGTGTGTAGCAGCTGCTTGCATCTGGGAACAAGCTTACACTGGGAAATCTTATGCCACTAAAGAGCCAAGTAAAGAAAACATTATTTTGACTTGAAATCCTCTGATATTTTCATTTTACTTATATTTTTGACCTTCATGCTGTAATTTCCAAAGGACAAAATTGACTTTGATGTGCAATTAGATGCAAAAACCACTATTTAAATTTTGATGGTCATGTTAATCTGCAGGTTCGCTCACTAGTAAATCCCAAATCTTCTAATAACTGTTTGTAAGACTGATTTGTATGTCTTGCTTCCTTACTAGTGATAATTACACAGAATTCATACTCCTCTGTATTGTTGTTTTGGTGGAGACTCAGTCTGGACCCTGATGGAGTCCTGATGCTCAAGGAATGATGCTTGTTGTCCCTCCTACCCGTTTCAGTTTTCACTGTTGTTGTGGCATCCTGTGTGTGGCAGTTGATATAGCTCACTAATTTAGTAGCTTGTATCACCCAATTGTCTGTCACTGCAATTTCAGTGATAGTCTGGATGCAGATTTTGTACCTTCCTAGAGAATAAATTTATCAGATCCATTAATCCTCCCTCTTGGGGGAAACTGAGCTTCACCAGCTGACCAGATGCGTATGTTTGTCTCTGGACTCCAACACAACATAGTTTTTTAGGCATCCAGCTATAGGAGGAAAGAAAAATGTTGGGGCTTGCTTTTTCTATCTGATGTCACTGTATTAGAAATTTTAATAAAACTCCTAGGGAATTAAGTTCTTAAATGTCATAGAAATTATAATGATAATGATAATGATATAAAGGTGGGGTTATATATGTTGGATTAACTTCTAACACATAGTTCTAATTATAGTTAACTGATGCTGGCAGTAGGGTTATTTTTGTATAAATTAAATCCCCAGCCAAGTGCATTTTACCCCTTTCCTCCACCTTGTTTTCATCCCTCGTTTTTAAAGGCCTATCCAGTCTCCTTTGTTTCTCATTTCTATTTGGAAATATGGTTGTAGACCTTCTTGAGAAGACCCTTTCATATCTTTTCTTGAAATACATCTGAAGCCAGAATTTTTTATATGTGTAATTTTGGCATCTACATTAGTACAGGAGGCAGATCGCTGCAGCTATGGCCAAGTTATGATTTGCCCTCTGCCTTGAAGGTTGCTCTACAAGAACATGAACTACAAAACACTCATTACTGCTCTCTCCTCACTGTTCTAACTAACTCCCATTTTCTTCTTGAATGCTGATACTGGGGGGCAGATGAGCAGTTGGACTTTTCATTGTCCATATCAAAGGGTGGAGTGATATGACATTTTCTGAGATGTACCACATTTGAAAGAAACTGAAAATTTCCTAGTACCCTGTATAAATTTCCTCTTTCCCCTTTTAATCTGTTTCTTGGAAACATTCCTGTTATCCTGTCTTGGTGAGGGGTGTGCTGCAAGTCTAATCACTGTGGTGTTGAAGACCCTCTTCTGGGGGATGGGTTTTTCAGTTAAATTTCGTCTGTTGACAAGCCAAAATCCTTTGCATTCTTGTGCTTCACTCAGTTGCTGTGTTGGCTCTTGAGAGCTATTTTTGCAAAGGAAAGTCTATTTTTGTCTTCAGAATAGCAGATGAGTTTTTGAAAAAATACAGAGCACAGGTTTATGCTTTTTTTAACCCATTCTGTTCAGCAAACCTCCTCATATATTATGCTTAAAGTTGAGATGTATAATTCAGTTGAGTAGGAGGTGCTTTGTAAAAAAAAAAAAAAATCTAGAGATATAAGTTAGTTTAATTTTAATTTTGCTCTGTTTTTAAGTTTGAATTGACCACTAAGAGTACCAAAAATGGTATCAATACTGCCTCCTTTTTTTTTTCCTCACTCAATATTGTTTCAATTCGCTTGCAAAGGGAAAATTAAAAATCAAAATGGAGCATATTCAGCTCTCATCTTTCCCTGAATCCTTGTGCTAACTAAATATATATATGTGTATATCACCTATATTTATGCAGATTTTAGGGTAGTTTCAGTCCCAATGCTTGAAACCAGCAGGAAACAATATGGGGAAATCACACTTTTGTAGCAGTCTGACTGGTTTAAAATATTATCTCAGGCATATTGAGCTAGAACAAACAAAGCAGCGCTGTCATTATTTGTGAGAAGTAAAATCAACATATAAACAAATATGTACTGAAAACAGTAAATTCCCCGACCCCAAAAATTGGTTCTGAAACTTTTAATTTGAACTGGTTTTAAACCAGTGGCTGGTTTCCTGTGTTCAGCTCTAGAAGAGCTGATGATCTTTCTTACATCCTTTTCAGCTTACACTCTTCTGCACCTTAGTGTTTCAGTAAGTTGTGCTGTGAGAAGTTATCTCCATGTCTTTTTTTCCTTATTGATTACTTGTTAGTTCTCAGTAAATTAGAGCTGAATTAATTAACATTTTCTTTTCAGCAAAATGTTATATATAAAACAACAATAAATCCTAGGCTTCCTAAGATAGGGTAAATCTGGGAACTTTATATTAAATGGGAGAAGTTTCATTGTGTTTTTGTCAGATCTTTTTTTTCTTACTTTTTCAGGTGATATTTAGATCTGAGCAAGGTAGTGCTTTGCTTCACTGTTTTTATATTAATTTCTTACGGACGAAGAGACTCGAGTAGTAACTCATTTGAAATCAATGACAATTGGTATAGACTTTTAATAAATAATGTGTCTGATTTATGAAAGAAAATGCTAATGGCTAACATTCTCCCAGTGATTTGAAGTTTTTCCTTCTCTTTCCTTAAGGAAAATGATCTATAGAAAAACAGATCTATAAAAAAATTAGATCTTGATATAAAAATAGATTTAGAATGAGTTAAACCTTAGAGTAGCTGGCAACACCTTTAAATCAATGGATTTTTGAAGAAGAAATATTTGAAGATTATCCAAAAGGAAGAGGTAGCAAAGGGAGTGAAACTGGCAGATTGATAAAATTAATGTTTTAATCTAAATTGAAATAGCAACATTTATCTTTTTAGTTCTTCAGTTAAGTGAAAACATGTCATTCAGTCTAGTAAGATTTTTTAAATTGAGCCATAAAGATCTCTCTTCTCAAAATCATACTATGATGAATTTCTAGTTTAAGATATTATTTTTAGATTTATTTGGTATGAAACTAAATACACCATAAGCAATTCATTTTGGGAAACCAACTACTTTTACATATGGCATATTTTAAATTTTTACTATTCTTGTAAGTGTTTTGTTTTTTTGAAGTATAGAATATTTTGATTTCTACATTTTCATTTATGGCTGCAATGACGTGCACTAATGATGTCCATTTCAATATGCTGTCATTTCCTACCCAGTCTCCCTTTGCAAAAGGGGAAGCATTTTATATGATGTCCATATTTTTCTTAGTGGTTTAGATTAGACTTCGTTAGTACGTTAGATTATTATTTTCCCCAGAGGAATGAACTCCATACATTTGTCTCTGTAGTTAAAGATCACCATTATTTTGTGCACCAAAGATCAGGTCAATGACAACTACTATCTTCAGCTTTCCAGAGAGCAGAATTTTAGATGATTTCCATAGTTTGGGTGGGGTGAGGTGTTTTTTGTCTGTTTTGGTTTTTTTTTCCCTCGGCTTAATTTTGTTTGCCCTGTTTGTTCTGCTATATGCATTAAAATGTCTACATTTGTTCGTAATAAGTTATGCATTGTACAGTGATCCTGCAGACAGCTGATGTGGAGCATGGAAAGGTTCTGACTGGTTAGCCTGACCTCTGGGCTCTTGTTCCACAGGGAATTATGCTGATCTAAAAGCTCATTGCTGTTGAGGGGGGAAAGGTTTAATTTCTCCTTCCTCCTCCTCATGCCTTCCTGCTGGGATCTTTGCTCTGCTGATCTAGCTCTTTATGCCTGCAGAAAGCTCTACTTCCTTGGGTTATTTTATTGATAGATGCTTTGACTCATGGAGAGGAATCTGAAAAGCACCCAAAGCAATACAGTGTAAGAGACAAAAGCTAAGGAAAGGGAATAGAAGGGGAGGAGCTCAACTGCTTGGAACCTCCCACTTGTAAATGTGCATAAAGTGTGGGGTAGCAGACTGAACCTCTGTATTTAAGAGCAGTGAAACAAAGAAGCCAGTTGGGTTCTGCTGCATTAATTACTCAGGCACACATTCAGCCTCACCAAGGTGGAAGTGCCTGTGTATTTCACAACCATATACATATTCAATGTATGTGTCCTATAGACATTGAAAAATTAGGAATTACTTCCTCTCAATCTTTTCGCAAGTAAACTCACTTTAAACTGCCACACGACAAGTGAAGTTTCCTTCTTCATTAGAGACAAGTTCTGACTAAACATTATGAAGTCATTCAAGGGAGGTATGTTTGTTGACCACCTTGGAAGATTAAATCTTTAATAAGATCTCTGCAACAAATAAAGACCCTAACAGCTGTTCTTCAGCATGCACTGGGCTTTGATCTTCCTCTTACTTCATTTGGTGGAAAAAGTACTTATATCTCTTGTATGCTATTGTCAAGCCAGTCTGGCCTTTTCTTTTTTCCAATAGTTTTGTATAATTCTTAAATCTTTTTATTGCAGCATGGTGATTTGGTTAAGTGACAA